ATATCATCTCTTTGTCTTGTGACAATCTTAAGGTCGGTCCCATCTTTTTTGACAAAAGTTAACAATTGAAAATTAGTTAGTTATGATATAGCTAACTCGGTTTTAACTTCAGGCGCTTAATGACTGTAGTGAAACAATATTTGTATTCAACTACCTGATGCTGTTAACTATTGTATCGTGTGTAGAGTGGAAATCTACCATATCTACTCAAGAATTATCCAATCTAGAAACTCTCGTCTTTAAAGTAGCATACACATTATTCACATTAACAATTAATATGCTTTTACACATAAATAAATTTTCAAATATTCTCTTTTTATGAATATCGGTTTGTATCAGGTTGTTGAATACTGGTATTGTTTCACTTCAGTCATTAAGTACGTGAAACAAAAACCAAGTTAAACTATGTCATCACTAACTAATTGTCAATTGTAAACTTTAACAAAAAAGATGGGACTGACCTTAAGAGTGTCACAAGACAAGTAAAGGATCTTAACATTGCATATTCTCATGAGAAAGGTATTCAAACTATTCTTGTCTTTGGGTTCCAAAATAAGTTCTTCTTCACATGTTACATGTATGAACATATCAAGTGTCATTGAAGTCCGAGACTAGCTTCAACAAGCGAATCAAAACTCGCTTGTTGATACTTATCAGTCTTAATATCAAAGTATTCTAGGTTGACCATATTTGAAATATCAAATGACAGTGACACATTCTCATTAGCCAACATCCTTAAACACAAAAAAAGTTTCAGAACAAAAAAACTTCAGTTTCTTGAGGGTTGGAATAGACATGGTCACACGAAACAAGGTTGAGATTCCAAATAGTTCAAGTTCCCCTTCAAATTAATTAGTACTAATTTTTCGAGCACATGACATCCAGATAGAAGCTTTGTTAAACGTCATCAAAGTCAAGATTTGGTATAAACGTTTAACAAACTTCTATTTGGATGTCATGTGCTCGAAGAGTTAGAACTATTTAATTTGAAGCAGAACTAGTACTTATTTGGAACTTCAACCTTATTCAGTGACCGTGTTTATTTCAATCCTCAAGAGGATAAAGTTTTTTCGTTTTAAAACTTTTTTTATAAGGTTCAAGATGTTGATGAGGCTAATGAGAATGTGTCACTGTCGATAATCCAAATATGGTATACATAGAATATTTTGAAAATATGGGTGATGAGTATCAACAAGCAAGTTTTGATTCGTTTGTTGAATTTAGTCTCGAACTTTAAACGACACATGATCATATTATACATATAACATGTTAAGAAGAATTTACTTTAAAACTCAAAGACAAAAATATTTTGAAAAACTTTCTCATGGGAATATGGAATGTTAATATCCTCTACTTGTCTTGTGACAATTTTAAGGTCGGTCCCATCTTTTTTGACAAAAGTTAACAATTGAAAATTAGTTAGTTATGATATATATAGCTAATTCGGTTTTAATTTCAAGTGCTTAATGATAGTAGTGAAACAATATATGTATTCAACTACCTGATACTGTTAATTATTGTATCATGTGTAGAGTAGAAATCTACCATATCTACTCAACAATTATCCAATCTAGAAACTCTCGTCTTTAAAGTAGCATACACATTATTCACATTAACAATTGATTTGCTTTTACACATAAATAAATTTTGAAATAGCCTCTTTTTATCTGCATAACGAATATACATACTAAACAATGTGCAACGAGGATGGGTGTTTATGCAAACGTTGGGGGGGGGGGAAAGAAATACTCTTTGGTGATCTTATGACGACGAAGACATAGAGAAGCATGTGAAACACTTCCTAAAGACAATGTCGAATCTTGAACAAAGGATATTGTGCTACGATACACCAACTGATAAGATGTTACCACTAGAAGTTACTTTTATTCGCCTATGAATTTTAAATTCATTCTTAAACTCATGAAAAGCCTTTTTTAGTCTGAATGACACAAGTGTTTTTAGGAGAAACAAACGTTTTGTACAACTTCAAATGTGAAAAATGAAACAAATGTGGAAAATCATCTCATTTTCAGATTAAATGATAAAAGCTTTCATGTCTGTGAAGTCAAGTAATCATGTTGTGAATGTAAATTAGTGTTACAGATCACTACATATATAAAACATAAAGCTCTAACGTGTAAACTCTAGTATGAACTTGTTAAATATTGGGTAAAATGGGGAAAACCAATTTTGTCGAAATGTGTGTGGAAGTGGTGTAACAAAGGTCATATTAATTAATTGTTGCTATATAAGATGAAAGGTCTCTTTGTTTTAAAATTTGAGTATCTATTGGATGTAATTTTACAAAGTCAATTTATATTTTTCTATTTAGAAATGACAACAGATTAAGTGGGAGACCTTTGAAGAAATGAAAGAAGTTGAAAAGTTTGAAAGTAGTGAAACTTAGTTTTAGTAAAATAAATACCAAAGTGGAAGAGTTACATTTTAAAACTTAAAAGAAGTTCAAACCCATATTCTAAAGTAAAAAAAAAAAATATATAAAGAAAATATTTTGTTATATGTTTTTTTTCTAAGCGTGGCCGAAACTCTCCTAAACAAGGTTCGAAACTTGCTATCCACGACACACAATCTTTTTCAAATGACACTATATTACAGCAGTGACTATATTTCAACATTATATTTTATTTTCGTGTTGCTATTTTTTGGTAATGCTATATTTATTACTCAACAAAGATAATATCTACAAAAACTCTTTGAACTGAAAAGCGAAGAATAACATTAAGTGTGCTCGAACCAAAACTGAAGAATATCTTGTAGCCAAACTCATCTTGGAATAAAATAGGGTAAACTCATGTTTGTGATATAATAAACGTTTAGTCATCCATTTACTTTAGAATAAAAAATCAATGTCGAGTTGGCTTGTATCATAACTACGAAATCAAAAGGTTGAAGTTTGGTCATTAATTCCATCCTACCAATTATCCTTTTTTCTTTAATTTCTTTATTAGTCGATCTATACAAAAAAATTACTGACTATAAAAGTGACTTTGAAGTTTTAAATTGTGATTATTGCCGATAAAAAATTGCTTCTTATAAATTTACTGATTCGCTATCAACTCAATGAGATAACCAGGATCCGTAAAAACAATGGTTTTGCTTTCTAAGTTTTCATTGTTCCAAGTTTGGTTTCTATTTTGGGGAGAATGAAAACTATTATTTTGTAGTATTTTTAATGTTTAAAGAAAAAGTAAAAGAAGAGAAAGAGTCAAAGAATATGTTAGGAACCACAAATGGTCACCCACAATTCTCTCAACATCGACACCAATCAATCCACAAAAATTAAAATAGGTCTTATTCACTAATCACTCTAAATTCAAAATGCAATACTATAAATACACTTCGTATCAAACCAATTCAATCAATCAAAGCTAAAAGAACTTACTCTCTCACAAACTTCAAATCCTCATCATCCTTTTTGAATCATCAATCATGTCGCAACAACAATTCAACGCCGGACAGAACAGAGGCCAAGCTCAAGTCCGTTCTCCTATCTCAATCTTTCATACATTATAGTTATCAACTTCAAACCGTATTTTCAAATAAATGTTTTACCAAATCCTAAGTGTGTTGATGTTTATATATGGTTTTGATGGATATTGTAGGAGAAAGCTGAGCAATGGACCGAGTCTGCGAAGCAAACCGCACAGTCCGCATGTGACAAAACTGCTGATTTGACACAATCAGCACGTGACAAGGCTGCAGATTTGACACAATCAGCTCGTGACAAGACCGCTGATGGATCTCATTCCGCTAACAAATCTGCACAACATAACCAGGAACAAGCCGCTGGTTTATTCGGCCAGGTATTGTATATACTTATATGTGTAACTACCAAAACTAGAGGATAAAATTTGCTAATAAAACTGATATATGAGTCCTTAAATCTATATATGTAGACCGGTGAATCAGTGAAGAACATGGCTCAGGGTGCTCTTGACGGTGTGAAGAACAGTCTTGGCATGAACGAGAAGAAATGAGAATTTATACTTCTCAACTATTTTATTTAAAATATTTATGAATAATTTCTTGTTTTGGAAGTTTTGGGTTTCTCCAAATTATGTTTGTAATAAGATTATTTGTTTTGAAAGGTTTTGTGATCATGTAATCCGAAATCTGAGATGTAATAAGATGTTGTAACATCACAGCCTTTGTCTATTTTAAAGGAATGAACCAAATTAGCAAACACTCTTATCATTAGAACAAACCGTGTAATTCTAGTCCGAGCCATGTACGAATATCGTAGCAGATAATATATAGTTCATTAAATTAGTAAAATAATTATATATGATTAATAAGCTTATTGGTAAAGTTGCATTATTGTCATGATGTTGGTCTATATTGTTTAAAGTTTAAACCGAGCAAGTGTTATAAGCATTGTAAAAATGAATTTAATAGATTTTTAGTGAATAAAGCATTAGACTTGGTGGTTTCCAAATCAACGAAAAGTTTGTGTACTTACATACCCAAATATGAAAGGAAATGGTGTTCATGAGCCTAAGATTTATTTTCTTCGAATTAAACAAAGTAATAAGGCCTAGTTAATAATAATGAAAGCAAATTATAATTTATGATTGGTCTTGAAAAAGCAAAATGGAGAGTTTAACAACAAACGACGTCTTTGAAGTGAAGATAATCTCATGTAGTACACAAAGTTTGTGTTTCGTTGCAGTACATAAAGAACACGATCTTTTTAGTAGATACGAAAACATGCATTATTTAATCAAGAAAAAAAAATGAAAATGTTTTTGTATTCCAATCACATGAAAACTAAAGGCAACTATAATTAAAAAAATCTTCAAAAAGAATCTACAGCCCCCAAAAAATAAGATTTAGTACAATTCCTTAATCGTACACAGTAGTACAAGCAAGCATTGTACTGCTTTCAAACCAAAGACACGACCAAATGTCTTATAAATGATCTTTGTGTTTATCTCCATGGTAATAGAAATGAGCAAGGAGATATTTTTTTCCCCTGGGTTTGAATGAACATCATTGAGTGCAGCGTTGATGTAATTTTACTTATTTTATTCCATTGTTGAATTAATTAAAGAAGTATATATCAGCGTTGCATTCAATTATGTTTTTCTAATTTTCAGGAAATACAAAAAAAATGAAAAAAAAAATCACTTAAAAAACCTTGAGAGTTCTTTTGACTCCAACATTTAGTTTCTATTATTTTCGACTCCTACAACAAACTTTCACCATACAAAATAATGAAGAAAACACCCAAAAAGGTTTGAATGTGTGAGGTTAGTCTCATTTTTAAAATAGTGACTTGTTTTTTTTTAAATGTTTTTTAAGAATGTTTTTTCAACTTTTTATTTTATTTTAAACCTAAAGGTAGCGTGACTATTGTGGAGAAATAAAGAAACATAAGAAAAAATATTTTTGGTTTATAGTAAGATGTTGTTTTAAAATATATATTTAAAAACAATGTCACTATTTTAAACGGAATATAGACATTTTCTATTAATGAGATTAACGTCGAGCATTTGAATTTCTAGATTTTTTTCTAAGTTATTTTGTATGTTGAAGGTGTATTGTAGGAATCGGAAACATCAATTTTCAAGATTTTTATAAGACTTTAATCTTTATCAGTTTCAGAATATACAGTGTGGGTAAGTTTCTATCAAAATGATTCGATGTATCTGGAGTGGTCTAATTCGTGAAAGTTTATGTATTTTATTTTTAGGAGATCTAAAATTTTATATCAGAAAAAGCAGAAAACATAGATAAATGTGTGCTCGTTTGCTCGAGTTCGTAGATACGGGTACTTGCAACAAGCACAAATCATTTTGTTGTAGAAACAAATCATTTTGTTGTAGAAACAAATCATGAGCAATGTGCAATGAGCTTCTTAAACTATAAGATTTCTTTAAAATTGAATTTGTCCATTTATATGTTTTTAAATATTTTATGTTTAGTTTTTAAAATTAATATATCAAATTTTTCTAACAAGAACAATACTTAGAGAGGAAGTCATCGCAGCTTTTTTTCCCGGTAACAACGACTTCTTCAACATTTGTTGACCGGCTATCTGACCAAAATCCTTTGACTTTCTCAGCATAGATGTCTGATTTTCTGCCCGATGAGGTTTTCTATTTACGGTGGTAGTCGGCTAGCTTATGGCATATGTTGGCTTCTATAGCGGCGGTTGGCTAGTTTAGGTCTAGAGTATCACCGCCCATCTCCGGTGTCTCATTGAGCTTTTGGTCGAATTGCTTTCCAGTTTAGAATAATGTTTTCTTTCTTTCGTTTTCTGTTGTGTTTCAATTATAAATCCAAAATCATAATTTCTTAAACCTCTTTTGTTTAAAAGACTCGATTTGTTTTTCAAGCTTATCGATTTTAATTATTTAAGAACAAATCAAAGTTAGGGATCAAGATTTTTTTTGGTGTCTTTGGGTTGGGTTTAATGCCATTGTGGCTATTATTTCTAACCAATCTCTGGAAGCAAGTGTTTTTTTTTAGTTGCTGCTGAAAGCTCCATAGACTTAATCTCTACGTCGATGTTCCTCGTTGCTGCTGAAAGCTCCAACGCCCAGCGGAATAATTAACTTACACAAAAATGTGTTTAAGTAAAAATTATGTCATGGAGTAACTAATTTTCTTCCCAACCCATGTGTTAAAAGTATCTTTTACCAGCTCAAATGAAACCACAAAGATAACATTAATGTCACAAAGTATCTTGTATTAAGCATAATTTCGTTATTAAAAAGTGCAATTTTCTTAATTATATTAATTTCACTGTCAATTGAAAAAGAAACCGTTAATGGTTTCAATTTTGACAACAAGACAATCAGCTCCACAGAATTCTCCAGAAGAACACAAATCCTCTTCTTCTTCTTCTTCTCCAAATTTCTCGAATTCAAATTTCAAACGATGACATCTCTGCAATTACACTTCTCTGTTCACTTCCTCCGTCCAAAACACCGTCTCCGCTACTCTCCTATCTTCAATACCCGCACCTTCAACTTTCCCGGGAAAATCACTTTCAGACTCAGAGCTAAACCTAATTCGCTCCGTTGCTTCGCTCAATCAGAAACGAAGGAAGTAAGTTTACCTGAGAAAGATGAACGTTCTCCGTTCGATATCAATCTCGCCGTTATTCTCGCTGGTTTTGCTTTCGAATCCTACGCTTCACCTCCGGTAACTTCTGATTCTCTCCTCTGAGTATTTTCCCAAGGAAAATTAACCAATAATACTTTGATTTTTCTGTTTTGATTCTCAGGAAAATATTGGGAAGCGTGAGGTTAATGCAGCTGGATGTAACACTCTCTACCTCTCTGAGTATGTGAAGTTCTTTTTGGTTTTTGATTTTTTTTTTCTTAGAGAGTTTTTTTTATAGATATTGAAGAGATGGAATTATATACTTGTTTCAGGTCATTTGTTAGGGAGATATATGATGGACAATTGTTTATTAAACTCAAAAGAGGATTTGAGTTTCCTGCTTTAGATCCATGGGTGTGTGTTTTACGATTCTTGAAGCAATATGACCTTACTATTTCTATGTTTTTCTTTTTTACTTTGATCATTGTTATTGTTCTTATTGGTTTTGTGTTTAGGGAACGAGTGATCCTTATGTGGTGATGGATTTGGATGGTCAGGTTGCTAAAAGCAAAACCAAATGGGGGTAAGTTTCTTATGCTTTTTACTGCATTTTCCTTTGGGGGATCGTGTTTCTTAGCCGAATTTATGAGCTTACTCTGTTAATTAGATGCATACACAATCTCTAGCCTGATCATAGTGGAAGTGTTCTGGAGCAGTCTTATTTTCGATATGATATATAAGTTGATCATTGCTTCTCAAACCTTTCATTTAACTTGAACAAAGAATGGTGTCATTGTCATATTGGCAGGACAAAAGAGCCGAAATGGAACGAAGACTTTGTTTTTAATATCAAGCTGCCTCCTGCAAAAAAGATAGAGGTGAAAATGTTTCAACTATTGTGGCCTGGTGAACTCTGAATATATAGAGCCTTGCTTGACTTCCCAAAAATTGTTTTAATGAGCTTCAGATTGCAGCTTGGGATGCAAACCTTGTTACCCCGCATAAACGTATGGGGAATTCCGAAATCAACCTGGAATCCGTTTGTGATGGTGAGAATTAGTTCACCTATTCATTATCAATTTATTCAGTTTACAAGTTTGTGTTAAAAATGAGGAAGGAAGTCTGTGTTGTTGTTGTTGAGTAAAGGATTTTAAACTAGCAAGTCAGAATTTCTACATTCACTAACAAGCACTAAGATTAGTGGAATCTAGAGATATATTTAACCACTTGGCGGAGTTGTGGTTTATACACTAACAAAGATGAAGACTTTCCTGAAAATGCTTCCTTGGCAATGAGATCTTGCAAATATTCTCTGACTAAAAATATCAACTGTGGATTAGTTATACGCAAGTAGTGATACATCTGATGAATTTACTGAACTTCTAAGTTGTGGCTTTTGTCTCTAAGCTGTATTGTTCTGTTTTGCTTCCGAAGGAAACTTGCACAAGGTGCTAGTAGAACTAGACGGAATTGGAGGTGGTGGGAAAGTTCAACTGGAGGTCAGTTTGTGCTGTCAAAGTTTTTTCCTGTATTATTGTTCTGTTGACGGATAGAATCAACTTAACTTCCAAAAATACAATATATATACCTTTACATCCAAAGAAGCACAAGATATCATGCAGCCTTGATCCTCCATAGATTCACATGTTTGATATGCTAAAGTAAAAAATTAGTCTCTTTACTAGTTTGGTCTTTGTCTTAACCGTATTTAAACCTTCAGATTAAGTACAAAGGGTTTGGGGAAGTTGAAGAAGAAAAGAAGTGGTGGAGGTTCCCATTTGTTTCAGAATTCCTTCAGAGAAATGAAATTAAGTCAGTTCTGAAGAATTTTGTTGACTCTGAAGCAGTTGAGTCAGTTTTGAAAAATCTTGTTGACTCTGAAGCTGTGCCAGCACGTCAATTTGTAGAGTATGCCTTTGGACAGTTAAAGTCACTCAATGACGCTCCTCTTAAGAATACTGAACTTTTAAACAATACTGCTGAGGACTCTGAAGGAGCAAGTTCAGAGGATTCGTCAGATCAACATCGCAGTACTAATCTGAGTAGTTCAGGAAAGCTTAGCAAAGACAAAGATGGTGATGGCGATGGTCACGGCAATGAACTGGAGGATGATAATGAAAGTGGCAGCATTCAGTCAGAAAGTAATTTCTGGGATAACATCCCTGACATAGTTGGTCAAAATATCGTCCAGAAACTTGGCCTTCCTTCACCTGAGAAATTGAAGTGGAATGGAACGGAACTACTTGAAAAATTTGGTCTACAATCGCGAAAAACTGCAGAAGCCGGTTACATTGAATCAGGGCTTGCCACTGCTGATACTCGAGAAGCAGATGATGAAAAGGAAGATGGTCAGGTCGCTATTAATGCATCCAAGTCTTCCCTTGCCGACATGAAGAATGCGACACAAGAATTACTTAAGCAGGCTGATAATGTCTTTGGTGCATTAATGGTTTTAAAAGCAGTAGTGCCTCATTTAAGTAAGGACAGTGTTGGTTCAGAGAAGGTCATAGAAAAAAATGGTTCTTCCAGTGTAACAGACGATGTCTCTGGTTCCTCTAAGACCGAAAAAATCTCTGGTCTAGTGAATGTTGATGGAGCGGATGAAAAGAACGCTGAAGAAATGAAAACACTCTTTTCTAGCGCAGAAAGTGCCATGGAGGCATGGGCAATGCTTGCAACTGCTCTGGGGCATCCAAGCTTTATCAAATCTGAGTTTGAAAAGCTATGCTTTCTAGAAAACGACATCACTGACACACAGGTGAATCTTTTGTCTTCGACAAATTTTCCTGAAAATACAAGTTCATGATAGATAGTGATATACTAATTTGCAAGCTGCAGGTGGCAATTTGGCGTGATGCAAGGAGGAAAAGAGTAGTTATCGCTTTCAGAGGAACTGAACAGGTAGGTATTTATCTATATCATCTTAATATTATGTGGTTGATTTTTCTCCTATCGTTCTTATTGTCAGTATTTCATGTTGTCAGACAAAGTGGAAAGATTTGCAGACTGATCTGATGCTAGTTCCTGCTGGGTTAG